TTATATCGGTTTAAAAGACATGCTATGTAAATGCTTTCGTAAACCATAATTACCACTTATTGTTAACTGTCAGTGCTTGATTATTTTGTGTGCGTCTCGAAAAGGGTTTTACTATTTATTTTTTCAGGGATTCTGGTACTTTCCTGTTCCCCCTTACATTTCCCTAACATTTCTTTTCAGTGCACTCTGAACTACCATCATTTAGAGCAGGGATGGGCAAAATATGCCTGGCAGGCCAGATCTGGCCCACCAGGTACTTTCATCTGGCCCACGGTGCCCACCAATGGATTGTGCCCCACCAAGCCCTTCTGCCCACGAGGGTGGGAGTGAGGCGTCTGTGCTTTACCTCTTCACACAGGGAGAGCTTGCCACACACTTCCATTGCTCTCACAACATAGTAGTATGTCTCAGCACATCCTTTGGGTATTACTGGTTTACAGGGTGTATATCTACCCTGCCTTCTTCCTTCCCCACAGCCGTGGGTTTCTGGCTGGCTACATTTTTGTGACTTAAATACAGGTGCACATCCATAATGGGCACATGTACATAGTCATATATGTGCCTAGCCAGTTCAAAGCCTAGTGCTCATACTCAGTCTGCCTGTGCACACTCACCTATCTACATGGCATGGGTCATAGTATCACTACTGGTGTACAAGTTCTACAAATGCCACTTACATTGTTAGAAAGCTGCCATGTCGACTAGCAGAATTCAACCCTGTGTCTTCTTAATTGATAATTTCTTGGCACCCACCTGAAGCTCCATTTCTGTCTACACTAAGGACTGTACAATTATAGAAGTTTGCAGTGATCTGAGTTTGCGTTCCACACCCCTCGAAGTTCCCTTAGAGGTAGGTCTCTTCTGGAAGGCACTTTGAAGGAGGTTGTGGGGGCAGGTGGCTGAGCTCCTCCTCCTGTTGTGCCTCTGCCTGGTAAGGAGGGGGATAAGGCAGGATCCCCACCCTCACCCCAGAATTGGCAGGGGTAGTGCAGTGTGGGATCATTTTGACATGGCAAATGATTCCAGTTATGCTACCTGCCAGCACTGCCAAAAGCAGATGAGCCAGGGCAAGGATGAGAAACACTTCACCACCACAGCAATGCTGCTTCATCTCAGGAGGCAGCACCCCCTTGCCCTTGTTCCTTCTCAGCCTGGCACCAGTGGGAGCATACCCAAAAAGAAGTCCCCCTCTCTCTCCTAAGCCCCCATCCCCAAGAAGCAGAGGCAGGCCACCCTGGACCAGTGGCGGAAAGGCACAGACAAAGGGGAGTGCATTCCCAACGCGAGCGAGATCACCTAGAGCATTGGGGAGATGCTTGCTCTGGATGGCCAGACCTTCTCCTTTGTTGAGCATCCAGGGTTCAGGTGGCTTATGGTGCTCGTGGCCCCATCCTACTGTTGAGCCCCAGCTCAAGTCTGGGATCGTGCCCGGTATGCAAAAGCCAATAAAGATACCAGGGGTGAAAGTATAAAGATTTATTGCTAGCAATACAAGGTGCAAGCGGAATAATTTCACGTAACAAGCACACAGAGTCTTAATTATGAGCATCTTTTATACAGGAGTATTGGACCTTCATAAGCATTCTTGTTTGCTAATTGGTTATAAGGGAGTGACGCAAGGAGTTCTTTACTGAGCATGTCTCTATACCTGTGTTTTAGCTATGTATCTCATTTCCATACATGTATGTTTCATTAGCATACTTTCTCCCCACCTAGGGGTGTGAATCTTAATATTTAAATCAGCTCTTTGTCCTAGTCCACTAATTCTGTTTTTGTTTTCAAGTCTCCTTTATCTAAGACTGTCTTCTCCTTATCATTGCAGAGCAGATGCCAGCAAGGAATCAGATGAATCAGGAGGAGGAGGAGGAAGAGGAAGAGAATACGGTAAAGGCAGCAGAGGGGGAAGAGCCTCCGGCTCCGGACAGTCCAGGACAGGATTTACAGTTGGTTCAATGAAAGCCATCTCACTTCCCCGAACCCCCTCCCCCAATCCACATTCCTCCAAAACCTTTCTATTTCTACTAAGAGACATAAACGCTTGCGCATACATCAATTCCTCCCATTTACCATTCTGCCGGCAGAACAAAATCAATTGTAAGATAGTATTATAATTAACACTTCCCTCCGGAGGCCAATGTTCTTGATCATCTAGCTGATAGCGTGGCCACGCAGTTTCACAGAAGAATTTAGCTTTCTTCTTAGTCATAGGATCTCCACCAAACTCTGCCCAATGTCCCAATGCACAAGAGAGGGGGGTACATTTCCTAACCTTACTGTTAATAGTACCCATCTCAGGGCTGCCTTCCCGGTCCTGACCGTCCGACTTACCTGGGATCCAGGGATCTGTTCTTAGTCCTCGTCCTCACAGGGGAAAAATCACTGGTCTTGGACTCGGGCCAGACAGAATACTTACAGAGATAATCCCAGGCAGGCGTGCTGACGGTAGGCCTTATGCCCTTTCTACCCTCTCACCCAGGTGCCTGTTACTGATACTTTCACTCTATGGCTTTGCACCGTTAGGCTACTGCCGCCTCAGCAATCCAGCTCCCCCTGAAACAAAAGTCTCACCGGGAAAAGAGATCCCTGGGCGCGCCTGACATTTGATAAGGAGGAGCTGTGTCTGGTCGTCAGCTAGTCCGGGCAAAGTTATCTAAGGCAGTCCCATCTGGGTCGCCAAAAACTGTTGAGCCCCAGCTCAAGTCTGGGATCGTGCCTGGTATGCAAAAGCCAATAAAGATACCAGGGGTGAGAGTATAAAGAAGATTTATTGCTAGCAATACAAGGTGCAAGCGGAATAATTTCACGTAACAAGCACACAGATTCTTAATTATGAGCATCTTTTATACAGGAGTATTGGACCTTCATAAGCATTCTTGTTTGCTAATTGGTTATAAGGGAGTGACGCAAGGAGTTCTTTACTGAGCATGTCTCTATACCTGTGTTTTAGCTATGTATCTCATTTCCATACATGTATGTTTCATTAGCATACTTTCTCCCCACCTAGGGGTGTGAATCTTAATATTTAAATCAGCTCTTTGTCCTAGTCCACTAATTCTGTTTTTGTTTTCAAGCCTCCTTTATCTAAGACTGTCTTCTCCTTATCATTGCAGTTGGGCATTAGTTACAGAACAGAGACTTTTGCTTGGGCTATGTGTAGTGGTTTCTAGGTCAAACCTGACACCAGTGGGAGTCCCCTTTATAAACTGTATGAAGATCAATGAGCTCAGGAATGCTGGGAAATGTAGTCCAAAAAAAGACAGAAGAGCTCACCACCAACATCGACAGCAATTGCCAATCAACCAGGTGGCAACAAACACCCACCTACCCACTACTCTAAACCCTAAATATTTTATGATATCGTAGCAGTCATCATAGCAGCTATAGTAAATACAAGAAAAAACACATATATTTGTAACAATGTTGGGATGGGAAGGGAAAGGAACAGGAGGGGAGGATTCAAGTGGCTTGTCTTTGGGATCACATACTGACAGAGAGAGACCAGACTGACCAAGCATAGGCAGGTGCAAGCGACAAAGATGTTGGGGTGACCATGACTGTGCCCAGGGGAGATTCCCAGTGAATTAGGACTGCCCAGCTAGAGTCCGGAGGGGGGACTGAGCAGTTCTCAAAATGAAGTCATTAGTATCTAGGGCCCCAAATCCTAGAGGGCTAACAGAGCTCTGGATTTTCATATGCCTGGATAGCAATACGTGCTCATGGTTGAACAGCAAATCTCATCACCTTTAGTGTTCTGTCTGTTTGCCAGTAGTATCCGTGATCCTGAAGGACGTTGTGGAGGGCTGTAGTTTTTAGCAGGCAGAGAAAATGAGATGGGGAGACCCAAGGTGGGAAGAGGGTTGTAGTGGACAAATAAGAACTGAACAGTCCTGGAGGGGAATAGGAATAATTAAATGAGAGGGGAGAAACCTCAGTAATCAGCAACAATAAAGGGGAGTCAGAGCTGAAAGGGGGTGGAGGAGCAGGAGTGGTCTGGGGGGAAAGGTTGGACAACATTGTATAGAATAAATTAAAGGGGTAGGGCTAAAAAGAGAGATGTGGGAATTGAATATCCAGTTGAAAAGAGGCTGTACACTCATTGGGTGTCTACATAGGAAACTTGTTCCAGTCTTATTTAAATCAGATATTAGAACTGAATTAGCTAAACAAGTTCCAAACCTGCACTTTTGTCTGGACACTCCTCTACGTCTAAAGACCATTTTGATTTAGCTTTAACTAAATGCGCTACTCCGCAGCAGTGATTGATGAGCGACTGCGCAGACAGTGTCTCGTAGAGGTACATGTGCCCCGTCCCTGCAGCCCCTCCGACCCAGCACCCACGAGCTCGCCTCCCTCCGGCTCAAGCACGCGTCCAGGCTGCTGACGGGGGGCGGACAGCGAGACGGAAGGGGAACGCTTTGAGGGAAGTGGCGGAAACCAGAGCACAGCCGCGCCGAGGCCCGACACACTCCGCGCAAGCGCAGCCATCTGGCGCAGCAAGAGAGGAGCCGGGGGCGGGGCTAACATCCTGAACGCTGCTAGGCATTGGCTCATTCCGCAGACTGGCAGCGCGGGCGGCCAATCGTGTGCCGCAGCGGTGTAGGGGGTTCTGCCGCTTGTCTCCGCAGGTCGGGGCGGGGAGTGCCGCTTCGCCGGGGCGGGAACGGGGGCCGCAGCCGGGGGAGGCGCAGACCCAGCACCCGGCACCCGCCTTGCCCCGCACCAGCAGCCCCTGCCGCTTCCCCC